TTTTATTTATCTGATTCCCAAGATGATGATGTTCAGTCTTGTCATCTCATGTTTGACCACGTCCAGCTTACCTTGATTCATGGATCTTACATTCCAGGTTCCTATGGAGTATAGATCTTTACAGCGTCAGACTCTCCTTTCACCACCAGATACATCTGCAACTGAGTGTCCTTTCGGCTTTGACCCAGTCGCTTCATTCTTTCTGGTGCTACTAGTACTAGCCCTCTGCTCTTCCCCAGTAGCATATTGGACACCTTGTGACCTGAGGGGCTCATCTTCTGGCGACCTATCTCTTTGCCCTTTAGAACTGTCCATGGGGTTTTCATGGCAAAGATACTGGAGTGGGTTGCCATTTCCTTCTCCAGTGGATCACATTTTGTGAGAGCTCTCTGCTATGACCTGTCTGTCTTTGGTGGCCCTGCACGGCATAGCTCATAGCTTCATTGAGCTACGCAAACCCCTTCACCAGAAAAAGGCAGTGATCCAAGAAGGCAGGGAGTCCTGTTGTTTGCCATATCCGTCTTTACACTGGAGCTGTGCTGAATCTAATTAAGTTTAATTGCTGAAACTTTTACAGTAGGTAAGCCAAAGTCTCTTTAATTAGCTTCAAGTTTCAAAGGTCTTTCTGCTGACTGTTTTTCAGCACAATCTCCGTCTCAATCCAACACAGTCACTGTCACTCCTCCAATGAGGCTATATCTTTTTCTGTGGGAGTTTAACATTTGAATTTATGATTTATTTATTTCTTTATGATCCATAAATCAATACTTCCTTATTAAAGTCTTAAAGGATTCTTCTCCTCCAAATTGCATCCACAACAACCCACTACCTCCTGGTTTTTCTTGTTATTCTTAACTAGGCGTTAGGAGCGTTCTTTAAACCATCTGATTGCAGCCAATCTATATCGAGAGAGGTTTTACTGTCACTCTGAATGACTCTGGTGCACCCACAACTGCAGTATTGTGTTCAGTTCTGGGCCCCTCAGTACAAGAAGTATATAGTCAGAATCGGTGTAGCATAGGGCCACAAGGATGATGGCCGGATTGCAGGGATTTAGGCGGGACTGAGGGAACTGGGTCTTTTCAGCCTGGAGAAGAGGAGACTCCAATGGGATCTGTTGGCGACATAAAGATGTGTGAGGGGATGTCACACGGAGATGGGTAGAGATCTGTTCTCCCCTGCGGAGGAGGGCAGGATACGTTCCAGTGGAGCAAAGCTCAGGAAACCAAGGTTCAGTTTGGATGCCAGGAAGCACTTCCTGCCAGTTAGGACCCCAAGGGTATGGGATGGGCTTCCATGGGAGGTGGTTGACACCCCACTGGTGAGGGTGCTCAAGGATAGGCTAGACGTGCACATGGCAGGCATGTCATGAGTGGAGCCAGCTGGAGCCGGGGGTCAGACTTGATAGTCCGGGAGAACCTTTCTGACTCGCTCTGTTTCTGTGTTTCTAGTTCATGGCCACTACCAAAATCTGCTCCTAATCTTACTTTGACAGCAAGAATATGGTTTCCGTATTTTCTCTTTCCATTTATGCAGTGCATTTGATTTCTGTTGGTGATGTCCATGTATACAGTTGTTTGAGCAGTAGCTTGAAGTATTTATTTGCAATGAACAGATTATTAGCTTCAGAGAATTCTGAGTCATTCTGCTGCTTCATTTCTTGTCTCCATGTTAAATTCTCCAACAGTGTTTGATTCTACTTTGTTTCCTACTTACCCTTTTCAGTTACCTAGCATTCTCACATTTCTGGTTTTGGTGTGTTATCAAATTCCTCTTGAACACCTGCACTGAAATTTTCATTTCTTCTTCAGCATCTGTTGTAGGAGTGTAGACTTGAATTATTGTTATTTAGATAAGTTTTCCACTAATACTGATCGATATGACTCAGCTGGTTTTGGGATTGTAGCCAGTTACTTCCTGTGCTACATCAGAAGCTACAACAGTTCTTCTGAAATTTTCATTTCCAGATAAAACACTTTGTGTCCCATTCTACTTTAGTTCACACACATCAAGAAATGCGATGCTTAACCCTTCCATTCCTTGCTTTACGGTTTCCAGTTTGCCTGGATTCATACTTTCAGCATTCCATGTTCTGCAACACCAGATTTTCTGTTAATCTGTGCATGTCAGCCATTGGGCTTCCTTTCAACTTAGATCTAGTTGTCATTAGTGACAGCATTATTTGTGTGTGTCCTTTGCTCTTCCCTCGTAGCTTGCTGGATGCCTTCCAGCCTGGGGTTGGGCAGGTCTCCCCTTCTGGCCGAAGGGGAGACCTGCCCCTTCTTGTTTTGTTTTGGATTGCTTCCTCATGAGGTTCTCAAGGTAAGGCAAGGCAGAGGGGGCTCGCCATTGCCTTCTTCTGCACAGTACTAGTCAGTGCTACACCGAGCGCTCCTGGAATCATCTGTGGCAGCCCATCTGCTGGTGTCGCGGTGCTTCAGGTGTTTCTCTGACCCATCACCATGAGAGGAATCCATTCTCTTCTCTGCCAAATTGAGCATAACTCCTAAACAGGATGGGTGCTTCTTGGTCTGCTGCCTCCTCTCTAACCATTCTGTGGGGCTGACCCTGCTGGCAGACCAGGCTAGAGAGAGAGCAGACCTCCTGGCAGCCTTGCCCTCTACTTCTCTGACACCCTCAGCCCCCCTTCCCACATTCAGGTGCACATGGAAGAGTGAGAGAGACCCCTCCTCCTCTCCTGCTGTGAGCTGCATGGAAAAACAAGGCAGGGCCTTTTCCTGCTACTGACAAGGTTCCAGGCGCTGCTCCCTCTGGAATGTTGGTCCTTTCACTGGGCGGCCTTCTTAATCCTTGGTCTTCCTTGACAGATACAGAGCATTGTGAGACTGAAATAATCCCTGAGTTACTTCCATGATTTGTGTAATAACCTTCCTTTCTGGTTTGTAATTTTTTATAAAAGAATCCTTTCACTACAAAGTCTGAGTAAGAGATCAAGTATGATAAGCAGTCAGCAGCCAAGCGGATGCACAATTTCACAATGACAACCCATCATTCACAATGCCCCTGTAATCCTTCAGGTAGCTGGACCAAAACTTCTTGTGTTTTCTTCAGGAGGTGGCAGAGGAGCTGTTTTAATGGGGAATTGCTCTGTAGTCTTTGAGTAGTGCTCACAAAGTCCTAGAAAAGATGGGAAATTATTTTTGCTGTCCAGTTCTGTGGGTTCCTTTTAGGGTTAGGGTTAATCCTTTTAGCAACTAGTATCCTGTTAAAATCTCTTTGATGCTTCCAACCTCTTACAGAGACTTATTTACACACACTTTCTCTCATTTACTGTGCCTTTGCATTTCAAATGTACTGTAAAATAACTTGCAATATGTGTCTGGAAGTTGCAACAAAATTGTGTCAGTGTATAATACAGCTTGCTAATCGGACAAAATAGTGGGTGTGTTGCCTGAGCCTGCTGGAATCCTCACTCAATGACCATCAGTACGCATGGAACCATGAAGCATCGAACGGTCCATGAGGTACTGGGCATGGTGCCCATACTCTCTGCTTCCTCTCCTTAGTAAGGCTTGCTGATGTTTTGAGGAACAATAGACCTGCACACTCTATTTTTACTGCATTTCTGGTGCCTTATCAGGGATATAAGGGATGCAGGTGGCGCAGTGGTTTAAACCGCTGTGCTGCTGGGCTGGGTGATTGAAAGGTTGCCAGTTCAAATCTGCACAACGGGGCGAGTTCCCGTTGCTCCGGCCCAGCTCCTGCCAACCTTGCAGTTCGAAAGCATGCAAATGCAAGTGGATAAAAAGGTACCACTTTGGTGGGAAGGTAACAGTGTTCTGTGCACTTTGGTGTTTGGTCACGCCGGCCACATGACCACAGAGACTGTCTGCGGACAAACGCTGGCTCCTTCAGCTAGGAAACGGAGATGAGCACCTAGAGTCAGGCATGACTGGACTTAACGACTAGGGGAAACCTTTACCTTTACCTTTTATCAGGCCTTACAATTTCAATTTCCAAATAGGTAGCACTGATAATTTGAGGCTGCAAATTTATTATTTTTCAAAGGGTACATTTGCTTGGCATTTTTTGTTGTGCTCTTTGCATTGCATGTACTGGAACTCAGGATTTTACATACCGGGGGACACTTTTTACTTTCTATGCCATTTCAGTTATTTTTTTCCATGAGTCCTTTGTCACTAGAAACTTTTTGCAGTTTCTCATTTTTATGATAATTGGTCCCTGATCATCTCCTCTGGCAAAGATTGCAAAGGCACAAGTGGCATTTAGTTCATGCCAAGCAGTCAGATCCTGGCCAAGAATGAGAAAACAATCAAAAGAATTCGGATGCAACATCCAGCCATCGACCAGAGTGCCCGCCTCAGAGCTTTGTAGCAGTAGATATGCCTTCTGCTGCCCCCACTGAAGTGCTGGACTCCCAAGAGCAGGCCAGACGCACGGGCTGAAGTCTGTGGCACATGCTGCGCAGAGCCGCACCTGATGAACGGGAAGTGGCGAGCAGCACGCAGGAGCGCAGCTCCCGGCAGCTGCAGCAAGTGCAGGCCTGAGCCCACCCCAGCCAGGAATGACAGAAAAAATGGCATGCAAGGCTCACGGCCCAGGGTCTCCTGGCTAATCCGCTTTGTATTGCCTTCTTAGTAAAAGTAGACTCAAGAACAAGTTTTATATCTAAACAAAAAATAATTTCTAAACTCTTATTTTTCATGTTTCCCCTTCCTTTCTGCCTCTGTCTGGCCACTTCTCATCCTGATGTCCCTTTGTACAGCTGGAAACAAAATACAAGCAACAGTCTTCTCTCACTGGTGGAATATCGCTCTGTGCCTGTGTAGGACACCTGCTGGATAAGCATCCTGGGCTTAATGCAAGATGAGCAACCCTCTTCCCCGCCCTGTTTCCAGTTGCATGACAGGACCAGTGTTTCTCCCCCTCCGGATGAATGGAAATTTATTTGTTTAATTCTTTGCTTTATCGTAGCGATGGCCTGCTGATTCCCAGCTTGGCTTTCCTTTCTTTCTCAGGAATATGAAGAGAAAGCCCTTGAAGATTGGGATCCTCACAGGACTGCTCCTTGTGCTCACTGTTTGTGCTGCAGTTTTCTTTGGGCTGCGCTCTAAGGCATCAGGTGCTCCACAGAGGATGCACATTTACAAGAATGCAGCTGTGGCCACAGATGCTGCCCCATGCTCCACGATCGGGAGGTAGGAAGTGCCCTTCTACAACAGAAAAATGTTTTGTTCACATTCTGCATGAACTGCCTAAAAAGCTTCTGCCACATCAGAGTTGTTCAGAAATTCTGCTTCTGCTCAAGAAACTATTCTTTGGCTACTCTAGCATAGGGCAGTCCAGCTTCTCATACCTTGAGGGCCACAGGAGGACTTCGACATGGAATCCAGGAGCCACACAAAAACTTACATTTCCATATTGTAAAGTGTTCACAATATATTGATTTGATTTAATATACATAATTAATATATTTAATTAACCAAATGAGGGAGAGAACTTTGGCTTTACTCTGAGAGTGTTGAGAAACATAAGTGTCCATGTGCCGGAAAACAGGAGGACAAAACAAGGGAGAACACAGGGAGGCCAGAGGTCTCTGCCAGGGACTGCGGGCTGCTCCTTCTGCGACTGCAGCCCAGCACCGGGCCGCTCCTCTGGCGTGGCCTGTCCCTGGGAAGCCCTCCCACTTGGCCTCCGGGCCCTCCTTCCTTCCTGTAATCGGCGTGCTGGGCCTCCTGTACTTCAGCCTGCAGACATTCCTCAGCAAGCCCGCCCCAGGATGCCGGCTGGAGCAGCACGGGGCACGTGGGGTGAGCTCTTGCGAGGCTGCTGGCTGGCCCAACCCGGCCCACGCTCTTCCTGAGGGAGCTGCTCCAGTAGCTGAAAGGGCAGCTCAAGGCCCTCCGGATGTGGCCTGGGGAGCCAAAAACGCCTCAGTGCTGCCACAGAGAAGGGGGGCACCCACGCCAGCCCCCTCCCCCACATGTTGCTCGGGCACCCCCTGGATGCGAGGTGGCAGCCAGCGATCACTCAGAAAGGAGTGAGAGGCTTATCGCCCCCTTTACAGAGTGAATTGCTTGCTGTGGACCTTCATGAAAAATACGGCCCACACAGGGTGACCTGCACTTATGTTTCATGACACAATGACCAGCTTCTAGTTTGATGCTGCACTTTATTGTATTTTATTGTATTACCACCCTGAAACACAGTGAAGGGCGGGATATAAAAGCTTTCAATAAATAAATGAGCAAGCAAGCAATCATCCTTGATTAAGCAGTCATAGAGGGGCTGTTGTGTGGTGCGTGGCCAAAGGCAGTTTCACCAGCAGCATGGCTTGTTCTAGGGTTGTTTTCCACCCATCCTGGGTTGTGCTGCTTTCTGAACTTGGACAATGCAACGCACCATGGGAGAGCTCCAGCACTCAAGGAGCCGCTTGGCGAAAGTGGCAGTGATCCTTTGGGCTGTTGTCAGATGTTCTCCCCTGCACTAGTGGCACTGAGAGGGCATCCTTCCTGGCAGCCGGAGAGGAGACCTGGCCAGCCGCTGGCCGAGATGGTTGGGGTGCACTTCTGACAAAGGGGCCTGGGCCCCTCAGCGGGGTGGAGCAGACACTGGTGGTGGCTGCTGGGGAGGTCTCCTCCCAGGCAGGAGGTGGGGGGCTGCGGGAGCTTGACCTGCTCAGTGGCCACAGTGTTGCCTTGAGGGCAGGCTGCAGGCAGCCTGCCCCCTGCTCAGCGATCCCCCCGCGCGCTGCCCCTTGTCCTGCTGACAAGCATGATACCGCTCCTGTCTCATGCCGTGCCAGCGGCACGGGGCCAGGTGCTTGCTGTCGTGCCTGCCTCTTGCCCAGACCGCCTCACGGTGTCGCCTCGGTGGCGCAGGACCTCCCACAAGCCGTGGCCCAGCCCCTGCCCCTTGCCCGGCCCGCACTGCGTCTGGCCCTGTGGTCTCGTGCGTGCGTCGTGCCTTGCCTGTTCCCAAAGTCCCCTGTGTCTCTGCTTGCCCTCCTGGTTCGCAGCCCTTCTTCTGCCCCCGTGTGTATTTCCAGCTCCTGACCTCGTACCATGACCATGTTTCAGACGTTCCATGTAGCCCTGCTTCAGACTCCTTCTTTCCTGAAATCCCACTGTCCTGGTGCTGGTGCCTCCATTGCCCTTGCCTTGTGGCTGGCCACCCACATTGCAGCCCTGCACCCTGACAGTCAGACCGCCCCCCCCGCCCCCCATAGCTGATACTGGCTTGAGGAATGGCCCTGCCTAGGAGACATGTTGTCTGCAAGTGTGGAACCGCTTAACGCTTGTTGACTTACTTGCGGGATGTAATCCATGGTGTACTTTGGAGATGCCTCCTGCCCACATTTTCTCTCTCTGTTCCCCCTGAAGACCAGGTCAAAGGGAGCCTGGGTCACATGGATGCCAAAAGGTTCTCACGGAGAGGGAGCCTTCCATGTGCCCAGCGAGGGCGTGCGCTTGTCTTCTGCTCTGCAGGGCTACCCTTCAGAGAGGGGGATCTGCTGTGGACGCTGCAATCTCTGCTCTTCTCTGTGTGGGCTTGATGAATCCTCACAGCATGGGCATCGGAGGGGGCCTCTTCTTCACCATTCGGACACCGGATGGTAAGGAAGGTGGACGGAAGGCGCTCCTTCTTCCCACAGAGGGGGGCAGCAGCCACGAGTCCTTTCAAAACCGTTTTCAGGCTGACTTGCACTAGTCCTGAGAGGGCACTGTGCCCCCAGATCATGACCTGGTCAAAATCCAGCAAAAGAGTGTTGCTGGCAGTGAGCTAACAGTTGACAACGTTCATAATCCTTGTGCTCCTCTGACTGAGTATATTAACTCCAGTTTGTTAAAAACAAATTACATGAAGCAGTCTTCACTGTGTGTGTCCGGGGGAGGGGTGTGGTGCTTTGCCTGTTCCTGGTCGTTCTTTGAAATGGGAGCTGAGACAGCTGAGGCTAAGCTGCAGCATCCTCTGGTGGCCACGGTGGTGTGGTAACTACCTGCTAAGAAGACTTTCTGCCTACCACCTTTGCACTTTTTCAGGGAAAGTGGAAGTCATCAATGCCAGAGAGGTGGCGCCCCAGAACGCATCCCGGGATATGTTTGGCAACAACACAGAGCTATCCCAGAGAGGTAAAGCGACCACTGGAGCTGTGTGGCAGGCAGGGTATCCGCCTGTAGATTTGGGGAGCCAGTGCCTGTGCTAGCTACTCTAGAGAACCCATGGTGTGTGATAACCCAGGACCCCTCGGGCTGCAATCTCTGAAGAAAGAGACAGTGAATGTGCATGAAGACCCAAAGACAGGCATGACTGGTAGGCCTTTGGGGTGGATGAAAATTGCTCTCTCAACCAATCATTGCACTCTTAGAAATGGCTAAAAAGTGGCGCAAGCGAGTGTTTGTGCAGTCTAAGGTAAGAGATAGGCTGAAGAACTCCTGAAGTCATTTCACACAAGTCTTCCTAGAAAGGAAGCTCTTTGCCAGCCCCCAAATGTCTGCTGACCGTCCCAAGGGAGGGACAGAGGAGAGAAGAGATTTTCAGAGCAAGAAGCCACCAGCTGGAAGGCTGTGCCTTGCTTCGCCGCTTCCCAAAACTGGCTTATTATGTGGCCTTGCAGCCCTCCACGTCCAGCCCCCTTTTCAGTAAAGGGCGTGGCAGCTTCCGCCGTCAAGATGTCATGGGAGGCCCCTCGAGCAGGCCGTTCTGCCAGGGAAGCCCCCGCCTGGCCAGCAGGCTGCTGACCTGCATGTGCTCTGCCTCCTCCAGGAGGATTGTCCATTGCGGTGCCGGGGGAAATCCGCGGCTATGAACTGGCACACAAGCGCCACGGCAAGCTGCCCTGGAAGGAGCTGTTTCTGCCCAGCATCAAACTGGCAAGAGAAGGCTTCCCTGTGGGGAAGGCGTTGGCCGCAGCCCTGACCAGCACGAGCAGCTTGGTCGAAAGCAGTCCAGCCTTGTGGTAAGTAGTGAGATAGATGGCACAACTGAGCTGAAGCGGCTGCAGCAGCTGTTGGAAGGGCGGTGGGGGCAGGCGGCGCAGTGGGAGCCCAGGGCCTCCAGGGTGCGGGAGGGCTGCATGGCAGCACGGGGCAGAAGGAGACGCCGTGCCTGTGCACGCCAGGCTGTCGTTTACACACGCGTCCTCACCTGGAGCGAGCGCAGACACAGCAGAGAGCTGAATCCCCGAAGTATAAGGCCTGCACGCAAGAGCCAAGTCCTCAGGTGAGTGCCATTGCCGCGGGGCAGGGAGGAAACACCCTGCCACCTGTGCATGTCAGGGCTGCTCACAGCACATTTTAAGATTTTAAGAGGCTGAAAAGAACCGAATGGGACTCAGTAGGGACCACTGCCAAGTTCTGCACCCAGGAAAAAGAAACCCAGCACATCGTTACAAGAGGCTTGGTTCAACCACACAGCAAGTGAGAAGGCTCTTGGAATTGTTGTGGATCACCTGTTGTGGAACCTGAGTCAGCAATGTGATGTGACTGCAGAAAGGACAAATGCTATTTCAGGGTTCATCCATAGAAGCTTCACTGTGTGAAGTCCTAGTGCTCCTTTGGGCAGCACTTGGTTGGGCCACTTGGTTTGGAGTACTGTATTCAGTTCTGGGCATCCCAGTTTAAGAAGGATGCCAACAAGCTAGAAACTGCTCTGAGGGGAACAAGAAGGCTGCGGCTGGGATGGTTTCCCTTGGAGTCCCCTTGGGCCCCTCTGACTCTGCTGTTCTGCGATGCCACCATTCTAAGGGGGCATGGATCAGGACAGTTGAATGTGGTGACAATATGTATTCCGAACCTGTACATTTCAGAAATGGATGCTGGAATGTAGATATTAGTGTTGGGCAAAAATACATTACTTCCTTTTTTTCTCCAGGAGGTTCTATTCCACCCTGGCTTTACTGAAAGCTTTATATTGGAAAAAGTTGGCACAGCTAAAATGCATCAAGGTATTTAGTAATATCTGGTACTCCCAAGCCTCTTTTAGCAGGATGTTAATACTCTTGGCTTTTTCCCTTTAAAAATACAGGAATTAAACTTTTTCCATTTCAGAAAGGTATTTCTATGGTAAGATTTGTGCTAATGTTTGGAAAGAAGATGTGATTTCAGGGAAAGGAGTCATTTTAATGGCTTCCATTCTTCCTAACCATAACCAAGGCCATTACTGTAAATCTTGTCTAATTACTTTTTAGTCCATGACATGCTTCATGTCATACTTCTTTCATAATTACTGGTGCCTCTGATAATGGTTTAGTGATGTCATCTGCAAACTTATTTGTTTTATCTTGATTGTTGCAACACTGATAGTTATTTGCAAATAGTTCTAATGCAAGAATCGATGGGAGAGAATGGACATTGTTTTGTACATTGGTGAATACTGAATTTTTCTGAGCCAGGCAGTATTCTATGATTCTAGCCCTGCTTCTTTTGCTTTCCCTTTTTTTTTTTTTTTTGAGCAATCGTGAAAGTTTCTTATGCCACCCATCAATTTTTGCTATATGAACTGTCTTTTTGCATTCCTCCCTTATTGTCTCTGATTTCAGATCTTCAGGTTTACAGGCACACCCCTTGTAACGAAACACATGAACAAACTTTTAAAATAGATCTTCTTGCAAGGGATGCCTTTATAATGAAACTGGGGTTCTTGCAGTACTGTAGTGTCACTGGAACAAGGATATATGACAATTCATGTGCCCTGGAACATTTAAAAAAGAGACGGGATGTTTAAGTGACCGTGCTGACTGAAATTTGGTTGTGAGGGGACAGGTGAAATATCTTTGGTTTTCCACCCTAGTGATAAATTGTTCTTCAACAGAAACAAATGGGCAGAAATTCCCTCTGCAAAGGCATACATGTTCTGTCTAAGCCAATAGGACTCTCTGAGGAAGCTTGAATGAATTTTCCAACTGACCCAATCTTCTCTCTCTCTTCAGTGAAGTCTTCTGCAAAAAAGGGAAAGTCCTCCAGGAGAATGACACCCTCACACTGGCCCACTTAGCGAACACCTACGAGATCTTAGCCAATGAAGGACCAGATGCTTTTTACATGGGGAGTTTAGCTCAGCAAATTGTTGCAGACATCCAGAAAGCAGGTGAGAAAGTGCTGCTCTTGCAAAGCCTTCCAAGGAGAAAGACTCTGCGGAGAAAGGCCCCAGGCATAAGTGCTGTGTGCTGAGAGGCTGTAATACATCTGTTTGACCAAAGGCCTGGAGGAATGTTTGCTTAGAGATACTTTTAATGGGTCCTGGAACAAATAACTTTGAATCTGGCTGGCTGGGGATTCTGGGTAGGTGGGAGAAGGTGCCTGGGACAACACAGCCAGGAAGTGAAATGTTGACAGTCCCTTGGAAGTCAGTGAGGGAAATGATCTGCTTGCTTCTGGGCTGTTATAAGCAGGGCTGGAGGAAAGCTCCAGAGAACGGCAAGCCCAGCACACGGCTGCTCCTTCTCTTGGGAGTGACCACGTGCAGCAGCAGGGAGCCAGGCCGCTGTCTTTGGCAAAGGGCTGGCAGAGACCAGAGTTCTGAGAGATGGTCTAAGCTGCCAGCATTGCAGCAGGAGGAACTTTGCGAGTCCAACATGGACCTGATTCTCCCTTCATGTAAACCAAAAATGTGAGGGACTGTCTGGCACTGGACAAACGGAAGGAATCCTTCTGTGCTTAGAAAAACCCTTACAGGCCAAGAGAACATCAAGTTTCTTGAAAGTAATGCATTTTATTATTAAAATAAACATCAGGGGAGTTAGCACTGTTGGGAAATCCATGTAACTCATGCAGCGAAGCAGAAGAGCCTCTCAGGTGTTGTCTGGTCAAGCACAGTGCCCGGCTTCCATTCCCAGGAAAGCCTGCCAGCTGCTCAGCCCAGCCCCTCTTCCAAATCACGAAGGGAATCTTGTCTCGCGCTTTCATATGCTTCATTCAGCCTCAGGCTCAAGCTAACCTCCTCCTATATGTGGCCATGTGTTGTCAGTGTTGCAGAGTTAATCCTTTGCGAATGCTCGTTCTCAGTCCAGGCACTCAAGAAAAGTTAACATGTTTCTGTGCTTTGCTAACAGCAGCGAGCTGACCTGACCTGTTTTCCTAGGAATGTTGAAAGCATAGTGGCTTACATGTTCAAGCTCACACCCTAGACCTGTAATGATTCATGTGCCTTTCTGATTGTCCTCTCACTATCCTGTAATCACCGATATTTGCTGTACTGTTGTGTTATGTCCCCTCTGCAGATTTCTCACATTGTTTTGTCTATGAGTACATTATGTGCCCATTATTTTCTCATCATCTGCCCTGTTCCTGTGTACATGACTAGAAACCTATAAAACACTCTGCATATGTTCTAGAAACTTGTCAGTTAATGGGTGTACCTCTATCCAACTGCTGTTCGTGAAGGTTTATCTCTGCAGAGGGGTTTCCTGGGAGTTCTCACTAATAAGGTCTGCAGCACAGACGTCGCCCTGAGGAGCTGAGTGTTCACTCTTGCTGGCTGCTAAACCGGGATTCCCTGACAGGATTCCCTCCCTGCATGAACAAGATACCAAACTCCTGAAGTCAAGGCTGAAATTGGATGTAGTAGGGTGCAGAGAAAGTCGTGTGTGAGCTCCAAGGCCTATTGCTTTCAAGGATCTTGATGCTGCCTTTGACTCTCTCACCTTTTGGATTTTGGAATGGGATAGAATAATAGGGAAGTGGGGGGAAGACGAAGATGGAGAAGAAGAATTGGGCTAGGGGTGCTTAGAAGGAAAATAGGAAGGCAACAGGGTGGCTTGGCACCCCTTTCTCGGTCTCGGTCTCCTTGCTGGGGAGGAGGAGTGGGGCAGGAGGCAAGTAGAAGAGCCGCTGTTCGGTGTGAACCATGGCCGGGCCCCAGGGGCCCCCAGTCAATGGAGCGTGGGATGAATCCTGTGGTGCCCTGCTGCCTAGAGAAGAAGCCAGTGCCACTCCGCCCAGCTGCCTGGCCCGCTCCCACTGATGCCTTTGGCTGGAGCGCAAGATTGCAGCTGCCAAAGGCATCTATTAGGCACTCAGTGTGCCAGGAGTGTCCCCTCGGATATCCCCAGGAGGGCTGAGCAGGAGCAGGGAAAACTACCCATGTGCTCAGCTGTCTGTCCGTCAGGCGTGGTGGGAACTTTGAGTGCTGGGTGCGGTTCAAGCCCTAAACGCATCAAAAGTCTGTTCTCTGTTTATGATCCCCCCCAACCAGGCCTCTTCACAGTCAGTGGTCCAAGCTGCAGCACGACTCTCTTTGGCTGCGGCCGCATGGAGTGAGCCAGGCCACGTGGAGAGGGCAGAGTGCCGGGCCATGGGCACTCGGGCCAGAATGTGCTGGCTTTCCCTGGGAGGCTCAGTAGCTGCCTTACTCATGGTAGTCATAAGTGAAATTTGCAGCAAGTTAAAAGTTGGTGCCTACATCCCACAAACAGCTTGGCTGCATGATTGCACAGGCACAAAGAGCCTCCAGGGGACCCTTCTGGGATCTCGCTGACGTGTGCCATTTTGGGAGGGTGTTGTGACTGCTCCTGGGTTCCAGGAGCAGCTTAGCTACCCAGGCTTCCCTCCTGTGGGGAACAGAAGGCCCTGAGCAGTGAAGTCCCTTGGGTTAGTAGGACAACTTCCTAAGCCCAACCCTTGCCCCAAAGCCAGCCAGCCCTTGGCTGAAACAAATTACTTGGAAGTAAGAACAGTCACTTATGAGGCCTTGGGAGGAGTCAGCCGAGTGACCAAGGGCATCAAGGAGGAGGCGAACTCCATCATTCACAAACCTGAGGCATCAAGCAGAATCGTGCCTCAAAGGCCTGTTGTGTGTGGCACAAGTTCGCTTGTGAACTGAAGATGACTCCAGTCCACCAGCAATCTCCTGTTTTCTTCCAGGAGGAATCATTACCATGGAAGACCTGAGGGAATACCGGCCAATTCTGGATGAGAGTCCTCTAAAAGTCACCCTTGGCGAGTTCACTATGTACACTCCCAGCGCCCCACTGAGCGGGGCTGTGCTGACCCTCATCCTCAACATCCTGCAAGGTAGACGTTGCAGTTGCTCTGACACAGTTCGAACGGCAAAGGGCTTGTGGTTGTCACGGGAGGCGGGGGTGGCACGGCACCTCGCTCGCTGTTTCATTTAATTAGAAGGCAGTGTCATGGCTGTGCAAACAGGGCAGTAGCTGAGCATAATGAAATGAGTGAGGCTGGGAATGAAACGAAATGAGCAAGGCTTCCCAGGACACGGAAGCTGTTCAGTAGGGCTGGTTTCCGCTGAACAACTCCTGCAGGCAGAGCACGCGAGGCACAGCCTGTGTATTATTACACGAGGAGAACCTGCTGTGAAGGGCTTTCTCTTGATACGTGGTAGCTGAATAGAACCCCCATGTTTAAATGCATTCTACCTCTGAATAGCAGCTGCTAGGATAAAGAAGCGGGTCGGGGCACTTGCTCCCCCTGTGGACTTCTCCAAAAATGCTGTTGGTCCTTTGCTTCGATCCTGTTTTCCATCCTGGGTTCTTTCACTGACATTTGTTGGATACATGCAGAGAAGGGTTTCTGATTATGCTTTTAAAGTCTGGATAGGTTTATAGAGGAGGAAAGATGTTCCTTCAGGTACCTGACCCCAAGATGTTTAGGGCTAACACCAGTTCTTTGAACTGAGTGTGAGAATGAATGGAAAGCTAGCGAACCCTAACACTGGTGGATTGTAATCATGCAATCTAATCCGTAGATTTTTGACAGATTTACTGCCTTGTTTTAGACTAAGAGAATGTTTTGAAAGGCAGCCCAATGGGACAGTACACTGTAGCAATTCAACTGGGAAGTCACCAGAGCATAGAGAACTTCAGAGGACCCTTCACCCTGCCAGATATTGGCCTGAACTGATCAAAGAAAACTTGGCAGCAGAGTCTGCTTGTGCCTCCAGGGCAGTGCTGGACCAAGAGTTCCCCACAAAGGTAGCCCTGATCTTCCAGGGAGAATGTAGCCCTTTCCAGAACAGCTTGGCCACTGACCAAACAGGCCAGCACCCAGTGATAGAACTGCCATCTTGTCTGGAGTAAGCTCCACTCCATAATGTCACCCAGGCACTGGCTGAGGACACCCCTGGTCTCACCTGCCAAACGGGAAGCAGGGCTGGCTGCCATCTGCACGTTCGTGGCGCCTCCTGCCTCACCTCTGGCCAGCCTCCCCCAGACAGAGACACCAAACAGCATGTGGGTAAAACAGAGCTCACTAATGGGGCAGCAATTCCCGGCTCCACCATTTGGAATCCGCTGTCCAAGCAGATGTGGACCCACCACCATTCAGTACCTTTGACGTGCAGTTCAGTCAGCCTGGGAGAGCCATGAGAAGCCACAGGGTCACCATCCTGCTGAGGGTTATGACTCCTGAACCGAGTTGGATAAACACTCCCTGCTCCACGGTTATGCCAAAAGGGGGAGGAGTGAGCGTAGAGGCAAGCGTGTGCACTAATTACAGGCCTGCCTCCATCTCCTGCCTCCCAGTTTGGCTCATATTTCATCCCCCAACAGCTTTGGCTATGTGTGCTTGTATGACTGATGTCCCCTCTTTGCCTCCTGCTGGCAGGATTCAATTTCTCTCGGAACAGCATCGCTACTTTGGAGGAAAAGGCCTTGACTTACCATCGCATTGTGGAGGCCTTTCGCTTTGCCTATGCGAAGAGGACCTTACTTGGAGACCCTGCCTTTGTCAACATCACGGGGGTAGATCATTAACTAAACCACAGTACTGAGAACAGGCGTCCTGTCCCTGGTTCCCAAGGCAAACATTCCCACGGACAGTGCTTTGCAGCTGCCCCTCCTGCCCTGCCTCTGACTGCTGGGGGCAAAAGCCGCGTTGTGCCCGAGACATCCAGCTCACCGTCGCTGGACTCAGGGCACTGCAGTCCATAGGTGGGTCCACAGGCTTTGCCTTTGCATGTGGACCCAGTTCAAGAGTCCACTCCTGTCCATACATAAGCTGGACAGAGTGTCTTGCACAAAACTGGGGGACCCGCAGAGGGCTCTTGCTCAAAACGTTAATACCTTAACGTGGCATCCGAAGCACTGAATACTTGAGGAAGGCGATTCAGCCTGTCAACCATTTTCTTTGTCTTTTGCTATACTTTTTCCCATGTGCTGATATTAATTTTCCTTTTCCAGGTGATTAGAAACATGACCTCTGTATCCTTTGCCGATGGGCTGCGGGCCAAAATCACCAACATCAGCCATGACATTGGCTATTATGAACCTGAGTACCACACTCCCGATGATGCTGGCACCTCTCACCTCTCTGTTGTGGCTGAAGATGGCAGCGCAGTCTCCACCACCAGCACCATCAACCAGTAGTAGGACTCAGTCATCCTTGCATATGTTTCTTTGGACTGGTTCCACAAGAATGAAGGGGATACTTAGTTATGGGTTGGAGAGCTATGGAGTTTACACACTTGGGTAACTGCATAAGCAAAGCAGCTTGTTCTTGTGATGTGCTATTACTTATGAAGGAAAACCCTCCAAAATGCCTCATTCGTTCCCTGCTTAGCTGTTCTATCAAGGCTGTGGCTTCATTTATGGAGTCAATCTGTCCTTTATGTGGTCTTCCTCCTCTTCTGCCTTCAACTTGCCCTGGCATGATGGTCTTCTCCATTGAGTCTTGCCTTCTCATGATGTGTCCAAAGTGTGACAGCCTCAGTTTGGCCATTTTGGCTTGTACACAAGGCTGCGGCTTGATTTGATCGAGGACCCACTGGTTTGTCTGTCACTCAAGGGTATTCACAAAGTATTCACAGGGTATATTCCAGTTTCATGTTTTGAACACAAATTTTTTTCAGGTTGGTTTTCTTCACAAACCAGTTTTCACACCCAAATATATTTACTGGAAATGATTGCAGTGTATGATCCTGGCCATGTCTCCAGTGAAACATCCATAGACTTGATGGTCTTTTCTATTTCCTTCATCGCTGCCCTCCCAAGTCTGCGATGAACAGAGTTGTGAATTTCTTCCTCAGTGTCTGCTGCAGGAGTGTAGACCTGAATGACTTATGTTGACAGGCCTCCCACTAATTCTGACTGATATTATTTTGTTGGCTTTTGCATCGTTGCTCCCACTGCCTGTGCTGCATCATGTAGCTCAGTGTTAGAGCTACCACATTTCTTCAGAGTTTGTCTTTTCTGGAGTAAAATATTTTTGTTTGCTTAGCAGAGAATATTCCATTCCAGTCGACCTTAATTCACTCACAGCAGATTGTTTAACCTTCCATTTCTTGCTTTATGGTTTCCAGTTTGCTTTAGAAACATGGAAAAAGAGTGAACTACAAGGGGTCTCCTTGGCCATCTAGTCTGACCCCCAGCTCCAGCCAGCTCTGCTCATGAAATGCCTACCATGTGCATGTCCAGCCTATCAAACACCCTCAACGTTGGGGCTTCAACCACCTCCCGTGGAAGCCCATTCCACACCTGCACGGTCCTAAATGTCAGGAAGTGCTTCCTGGCATCCAAATTGAAACTTGGTCCCTTGAGCTTTGCTCCATTGGAATTTGTCCAGCCCTCTTCCACAGGGGAAAACAGGTCTCAACCTACCTCTCCTTGGCACCCCCTGTCACCAACAGATCCCCTCGGAGTCTCCTCCAGGCTGAAAAGACCCAGTTCCCCCAGTCTTGCCTCATATGGCTTTCCCTGCAATCCGGCCACCATCCTTGTGGCCCTGCGCTGCACTGATTCCAACCTGGTCATATCCTTCCTGTAATGTGGAGCCCAGAACTGGTCACAGTACTTCAGTTGTGGGCGCACCAGAGTCATACAGAGTGGCAGTAAAACCTCTCTCGATCTAGAAGCCACACTGTCTATGCATTCAAGGGCGATGTTCACCCTTGGCTGGCAGTCGACCAGCGCCCCGAGGTCCCTTTCACAAGTGCTGCTCTCCAGCCACTTGTCCCCTAACCTGTACTTATGACACCCATTCCGATGCCCCAAGTGCAAGACCTGGCACTTACCCACATTGCATGCCATCCTGTTGTCTCCTGCCCGCTTCCATAGTCTGTCCAGATCCTTCTGGATCCAAAGTACCTGTCCTCAGTTGTGGCCACTGCCCTTGTTTTAGTATCCTCTGCAAATGTGATCAGCAGACTTGTCACTCCCCTCTTCCAGGTCATTGTTGAAAAGAATGAACAGAGTGGGTCCCAGGACAGAGCCCTGGGGGACCCTGCTCATCACCGACCACCATCCTGGAGATTCCCCACTAATAGTTACCCTGTGCTTTTGGTCTGCCAGCCATGCCCTGGTCCATTGGGCAGCGCACGTTTTGAATCATGCTTGCGGCATTCCGTATGCCAACTGTATCTCCACTGCAGCACCAGGGGATCCTTCAGTCGCTGTGCATGTCAGCCCCCAGAGTCCCTTTCAGGCTTTGGCCTAGTTGCATCATCACCAGCCATCTCATTCATGGCTGTCCTCTGCTCTGTTCAGTAGCTGGGCGAATGCCTTCCAACCCGGCACTCTCCTGCTGTGGCACTCTCACTTGCTTCGCTTTGCAAAGTTCCATCATATGATTTTCAGGGCAAGAAGATGCAGAGGTTGTCTTCTGCGCAGCGCTAATCAGAGGTAGTTTGGACATCATGGCCACTGTCTGTGAAAGGTCCTCCACCAGTGTCATCTTCAACCACTGCTGCTGCCCAGTGGCTGTTTTTCAGAAGTTTCTTGGTTCCCATGGCCATGAGAGCGGTTAATTCTCTTCTGATGGTGTGACCTGTGGAAGGAGAGGGCCACACAGCGTCCTCTTGCGCTCCTTCAGAGGGTTGATTGCAGGCGAGTCACAAGGCCATCCAGAGCTGATGTTAACAGAATGCTTATCCCACTGAATTGCCGTGTGGAAGGTGGTGTAGGGAGTCCATGGGGCACAAGAAAAGGAGGGGAACTTTTTATTTCCCATTGTGATCCCCCTGGGATCTTCCCTCTTCCCCACCTCTGCATAGGATTAAGCTTAAGAGAAATCTCCAATGTAAAGGTGCTTTCCAAGCTTAATTACCATGCAGGAAAGAGGCTGGGGAACCCCCACAGCTACAATCTCCTGTGAAGGTTATCTCACAGATGGCTAGGAAGCTGAAAAGGGAACCTTCTGCTGGTGCCAGAGGGCTCTGAGGAACCAATTTAGGGCCATGGGAAATAAAATTGGGGCCAGGGCCCATGGGGCCCCAAACTGGCAGGGGAAGCTTTCTTCATAGGATCACCCCTTTAGGGTTGCTGCTGCCTCACATTTTGTCTCAGTCATGGACATGGCTGTTTCTTGTCTGGTGCAGTTTTGGCTCTGGCGTTCGTTCCCCTGTGAGCGGAATTATATTCAATGACGAGATGGACGACTTCAGCTCCCCCCATATCATTAATGGCTTTGGGGTTCCCCCTTCGGCGGCAAACTTCATTGCTCCAGGTAAGGGCCCCGGATGCGGTTCATGCTGCTGCTGACTGTATGCGCAGGGGGTGGCGACCCGCCCCGTCACGAGCAGGCATTCCTCTTGCTCAGCTGCCTGTGGCCGCCTTCTCCCAGCACTGATGCACGCCGAGCAGGCCGTACAGTGCCCCCGATGCCTGGGCCCCTGGCCCAGCCCGCCGCCTCTTCCAGGCCTCAGGGCAGGAGAGCACAGGCACAGTGCCTGGCACAGCAGCCCGGGAGTGCCTCCTGGGTGGCCGGCCGGCCACTACCTCCTGGCTGGGGCGCGTTAACTGGGGCCGCTGCGTTGTTAGGGGCACAGCTGGCCAGCACTCAGCCCAACTGCTTTCTTTACTCGTGCCAGAAGCATCACAATCAAAATAAGGCATGTTATAAAACATATAGATCAGAACTTTTTATAGAACAAGAAATTTAAAATGTAAAATATAAAATTAAAACACGTAGAAGTTAAACAGACCTAGCCCAGAAGCTAGCAACATTAATGGCATTCTGTCTAGCTGCCAAGATCTTCAAATGTGTGCTGGTCGGGGTGCATGTGTGTCGTCTGCACATCACCGCCATCCCAAAGGGCAGAAGTCACCGAAAACCCCCGTTTATTCAGAGCAACTCTGGATCTTGTTGCAGCCGTAAGCTGCAACCATTCAGCCATTTCCAAACTGCCCAACATTCATCAGATCCAGGAGCAACCCCCTCTGTTGGCTCCATCCAGTGTATCTTTGTAGCTCCCCACAGGTCAACTGTACTTTTAAATTCTTCAAGATCTTCTGTCGACCTAGGGAGATCGTCCTAGATTTTCATCTTTGATGATCTGGTTGCAGACCATAAAGGGGGTGTTGGCTAAATATTGATGACTTAAGCCTCTCTCTCTGTGCTGCGGCTTCTCTGCAGATGGCTGGCACAGCAGCACTGGCTAGATGGTAGACCTGATCTGGAGGAGTAGGTTTGAGGCATCCAGTAACAGTCCTGCTACTTTCACTCAGGGCAACACCTGCTTTCCCAGCCCCAGGCCTGGATCTTTCGGGGCCCAGCAGCTGGGGACCTAGCAGAGGCAGCATCCAGCAGCTCCCCAGGCACCGCTGCTCTGCAGCCTTGGGCACAGTGGCTTCCGAGCTGCGAAGCAGAGGAACCAGTGAGTCCTTCATGGGCCGCTGGGCCTGATCTGGCTTGCAGGTCTTCCTGCCAGAAGTGCAGAGTGCATCCCACTCCTGCCAGGGTCATGCTGCAAGAAACCGTCTGTTCCTGATAATCTGCCTTCTCCGCACACGGAATGCCTAATATTCTCCAAGAAGTTGCAATGCCCTGGTGCACCATGACCTGCAGTTTCCTAGCCAGAGTCCTAGAGTTCTGGGAGATATTTTATCCTCATCATTCCGGGACTCACTGGAAGAGATGGGTCAGAGGGTTTGGAGCCCCGTCCACAGCCTCTCCCAGGCCTTCTGCCCCAGCAGTGCTGCAGTGAGGGCAGGAGGGCAGGCCTCACCAGCAGCCTCTCTCCTCTTCAGCAGCGAGCTCATGGCATGTTTGTCAGCCGTGCTCGTCTAGATTACAAGCTGCCCTGACAATCCACAGCTTGTTGTAGGGTTTGTTCAACCCGCGATGTGTCATGCTGTCATCTGAATGCAGCCACAACCCATCCGTGGTTCACTGAAGTTGCTTCCGCCTTGGCAGGAGTGCCAGTAACCCCATTCCTCTGGCCAAGCAGCTGACAGGGAAGTACCCACTACCTGCCTTCTCCAGGGGGTCCAAGAAGCTTTGGGGGGCAGTTGACAGAGACTGCTTGGTTCAGGATCATGAAGACATAGGGTTCCCCTAAAGTGAATTGGTTTTTGTTTTGCTTTGTTTTGTTTTTGAGATTGTGAAAGGTGCCTTCACAATCCCCTTTTCTGCCACTACAAACAATCCTTCCAAGCTGCCCCTGTGGTAGCGGTGACTGCCCACCATTTTTAATTTTTTCAACTGCACAGAGTTGTGCACCAGAAATGTCATTTTTGAAAACTGTTTTTGTCCAAAAATCAAGTGCCTGTGGCTATTGCTTTAGGAGCAACTTCAGATCATTCAAGTTGGGTGTTTGTGGGCTGCAGACTGTACAGACTCTAAATACCTGCATCCTATCCAACACAAAAATAAATGTTTTAACCAGACACTTGAAAAAGTGTGCTTAATTTCACATGAAAACTGGAAGCTTGTAGCTTGACAACTGGGTGGAGCTGTCAAAGTGCAGTAGCGCAGGAATCAGGCATTTACTGATTTGGTCTGTTCCCAAGATGTTAGCACCTTGGCTGCACTTGCAAAAGTGAGGGGACCCTCCAGACCCTCGAGCCCTACCAAGCCCCAAAGGTCTTGCCCCCGAAAGGGGCGAGCAAGGCCCATGGGGGCTGCATGGGGGATCGGACTGGGCGGCCGGCTGGCCTGACACGCACTTGCCCTCCCCTGAGGGAGTGCTCTGTCTGCACGTGCCCCCCCTTGGAGCAGGGCAAGGCAGGGAGTGGGTCTGGGCCCCTCTGGGCAGGCTGTCCGGAGGTCTCAGGCCCCGCCAGGGCCCACGCACGTGCCCCAGGGCCACTACCACCGAGAGAAGGGACAGGAGAAGAGGCGGGTGAGTGAGGGGGGTTGGCTGTGCTCTCTGGTGTCCAGGGGCAGACAAGGCGGCGGGAAAGACCCGGCTTGCATGCGGTGCCTGGTCGCTCCTCCTCTCCCTCTCCCTGCTCCCCGCAGAGCTCCAAGGGAGAAGGGGCTGCCCAGGGTGGGGCGCTTTCCTCTGCTGGCCAGACTCGTCCCTCCTGGCCACCTCTCCGGTTCCTCCCGATGCCCGGCCAGCTGCTTTCCCCCACAACGGCTCGGCTGAGGTGCCTGCTGCAGATGGAACGGGCAGGCTGCCCCAGCTCCTTCCAGGGCCCGCCGCAAGGCAGTGGCTGGGCCAGCCCAGGGGCTCTGGAGTCCCGACTCGCTCTCTGAGCCCAGGCCTGGGACAGCCTCTGCCCCGCCGCCAGTCTCTCCCTGGGCATCTGCTGAACGAATGGGCTGAGGCCCTTCGACAAAAATCGAGTTAGCAAGTGCAAATTGTTGCCGGTCTTCAGTGCCTGCAGACTTTTCCACCCCAAGTGCTGCCCGGTGGGAAGGTGGGAAGGGCCCTGTCTTTGCCCCAGGGAGATCCTTTTCCCGGAATAGGAGAACCAGGATTTGCCTACTGCTGATGGGGCAGCTGCGTGTCAGTCAGGGAGCATCCCCCCCACCACGAAGCACACGCACGCCCTGCCCCCGGCCCGTGGCATCTGCTCCAGAGGCCCAGCTGCAAGACCTTGTGCTTACCATCCCTGCGCCATCCTTGCCCCATCGCGCCAGCCCAGCCTGCAGCTGTGGGGCTGCCCTGCTGGGAGGCAAGCCCGGGGGTTGCGCCCCACAGGCACGCCTGTGCCAGCAGGCCCCGGGCCTGGGCTGCCCCTGGCTGTGGCGCCAGACCGGCGCCGGACAGCCTCCCTCTGCAGCATCCTCCCCGCCGTCCTGCAGGGAAGCAGCCTCTCTCTTCCATGTGCCCCTCCATTCTGGTGGATAAGCGGAATGCGGTCCGGATGGTGGTCGGTGCTTCTGGAGGTACAAAAATCACCACGGCGACAGCACTGGTGAGTCTGGGGCCTCCCCCGGGGGGCACAAGTGGTGGGAGGCGTTCATCGGGGTGCGGGCCAGGAGGGCTCTCCGCAGGAGAGACAGGCAAGGACACTGGGCATGCGGGGGCGGGGTGGCCCGGCCGCTTCCTCTTCCGTCATGGCAGGCGTCCTGTAGCGGGAAAAGGGCTCCTCACTGGGGTGACGTTTGCCAGGCGACGCTGGGTGGCTGTCCTCTCAGGTTCTTGAGAAGAGAGTAGGAAAAGCGCCAGGCTAAGACCTTTTTATTTAAAACTTATTTTAAGTGTTAATTTATTATGTAGGATTTAAAAAATTTTTAAGGCGAGATGCACCGGGTTTTAGCATTTTTAGTGTATAATTTTTGTATAATTTTGTATGTTTTTGTTTTTGTTGTGAGCCGCCCCAAGGCTTTGTTGCGATGGGGGCGGCATAGAAATGTTTTAAATAAACAAACAAACAAATAAAAGCACTCCCAGCTCCGAGCCGCCGGGTGTGTGGGCGAGGGCGGCACCGCAACCAGCTGCTGAGCACCCCGAAGAGCCACCCCAGCACCGCCCCCAAGGGCCTGGCCCAGCCCCTGGGGAGCTCTTCCCCCCGGAGGGGTGGCTCGATCACGTGGAGGATGGGTGGGCCAGGCCACACAGGCCTCGGGCTTCCCCGCGCTGGCCGCCTGCGCCCCGACCTGCCCAGCCCAGAGCCCCAGCTTCCTGGATCCCAGGGCCCCACTTTCCGGCCCACCCACTGGGTGAGGGGGTGCTAATGCTCTGCCTTCTGCTTGCTTTTTGTCCAGACAATCATCAGTTCCCTCTGGTTTGGCTACGATATCAAGGCAGCAGTCGAGGCGCCAAGAGTCCATAACCAGCTGCTTCCTCCTGTTACTGTACTGGAGCAGAATGTGGAAAAGGTTGGTCTGCCTGCCTAGGGAACTGGCAACCAATTAATAATTAGGCAGCCTTCCAGGAACATGGGGCAGAGGGATCAGCTCTGTTTTTCATGAGTGGCACGCTGGGTGGGAGGCTGGGCTAGCTTGCTTCCATTCAGAAAACAGAGGCTACCAAGGAAAGATGTGTGCACAAGCAGTGTGTAAACCAGGGGTCCTCAAACTTTTTATGGCTGCGACCTCGACGGCAGCCAGCTCCACCGGCCAGCGCGGGCGCACGCGGCGCCAGAGAGCGCCGCCCGCCGGCCCAGGTGATCGGGCGCGCGTGGTGCGCGACGGGGCGGGTCTCGGAGGCGCCCTGCGGAGTCAAAGCCGCGGCAACGGCCAGGAGGGAACGGCCCCCCAGGCAGGAAACACCGACCCCGCGCTGCAAGAAACGCTTCCGCCCACCTCCAGCAGCACGCCGCTCCCGGGCAAGCGAATGCAGGCAGACGCACGCGGCTGCAACCTCGACAGCAGCCAGTTCCACCGGCCAGCGCAGGCGCACGCGGCGCCGGAGAGCGCCGCCCGCCGGCCCAGGTGATCGGGCGCGCGCGGTGCGCGACGGGGCGGGTCTCGGAGGCGCCCTGCGGAGTCAAAGCCGCGGCAACGGCTGGGGCCGGCGGCCGAAGGGCCGGCGGCCGAAGGGCGGCGACCAAAGGGGTCGCCGCCATTTGAGGTGCCGTTCGGGGGGACGAGAGGGGGGCTGGGCTGGCCATGGACTCTTGTTGAAATAGGCTTGCCTACTGCTGATTCTTAGGGAAGAGGAAGGATCCCCTTTTTCTTTTTTCTTTTTCTTTTTTTCTTTTTATCGTTCTTTTTCTCCTCCTTCGACCTACTTTATAATCTTACCCTGCTTTAATCAGTGCTTTGAGTCATTCCTGGCCATGTCGACGTTTATATATCCTGGGGAACACACGGGCACTGCTATTGGCGTGGTCACGGGCAATGGTCGTTACAACAATAGGGGCTTAACGTGTCCACGTAGAAGAAGGATGGACAGATGGCTGACACCTGTCCCTCCTTCTGATCCTGCCCCCAACCAGAGGGTGCCAGGTAGCCTTGTCAACCACCCCTCGGGTCTGACGGTGCTGCTGCTCAATGCCAGGTCGGTCAATAATAAATCTTCCCTCATCCATGACTTGATTGTGGATGAGGGGGCCGACCTGGCTTGCATAACGGAGACCTGGGCGGGAGAGGGAGGGGATGTTGCCCTCTCCCAATTGTGCCCGCCCGGGTATCTGGTTCAACACTGTTCACGCCCAGAAGGGAGGGGAGGGGGAGTCGCGTTGATTTACAGAGCCTCCATCTCTCTCACGGGTCTTCCGGTCCCTTTGAGACCAGGGCTGGAGTGCCTCTACTTGGTGTTGGGCGAACGAGACAGATTGGGTATTCTATTGGTGTACCGTGCACCCTTCTGCCCAGCAGTCTCCCTATCTGAGCTGACAGAGACCGTCTCGGACCTGGTGTTGAGGACCCCCAGGATGTTGGTCCTGGGGGACTTCAATCTCCATGCCGAGTCTGGACTGACCGGGGCGGCTCAGGACTTCACGGCCTCTATGACGGCCATGGGCCTGTCTCAACACGTCATTGGCCCGACCCATGAATGTGGACACACTCTGGACCTGGTATTCACGACGGGGCAGGTAGAGGATGACCTGAGGGTGAAGAACTTATGTTTGACTCCCCTGTCATGGTCGGATCACCTCCTGGTGAGGTTTGTGCTCGAGAGCGGCCTCTCCCTCTATAAGAGTGCGGACCCAATTGTATGGGCCCGCCCCCGGAGCCGGATGGATCCGGATGGATTCCTGGGGGCCCTGGGGGAGTTTCCGGCTGACAAGACTGGTGCTCCTGTCGAGGCTCTGGTCGAACTGTGGAACGGAGAGGTGACCAGGGCTGTGGACACGATCGCTCCTAAGCGTCCTCTCCAACCGGGCAGAGTCCGCTCTTCCCCTTGGTATACACCTGAATTACGGGCGATGAAGCGAGTTGGGAGACGGCTAGAGCGTAGGTGGAGGAAATCACGGGATGAATCTGACCGAACACACTTGAGAGCCCACTATCGGGCCTATGCTGTGGCGGTGAAGGCGGCGAAAAAGAAGTTTTTTTCCGCTTCCATTGCCTCCTCACAATGCCGTCCTGCGGAGCTTTTTCGAGTGGTGCAAGGCCTGGTTCGCCTGGGTCCTAAGGAAGATCCGATGCCACCCTCAAAGGCCCGCTGTGACGACTTTGCCAGGCATTTCAGGGAGAAAATCGCTCAGATTCGTCACGAGCTGGACTCCACTAATGAATCAGAGGTCTCTGAGGAGTCGCCAATGCCACCGTCTGGTCCAAAATTATTGGAGGAATTTCAATTATTGCAGCCCAATGATGTGGACAAGGTGCTTGGAAGAGTACGTCCCACCACTTGCCTATTGGATCCTTGCCCGTCTTGGTTAATAAATAACTCCAAGCATGGGATTGGGACCTGGATCTTGGAAGTGGTTAACGCTTCTCTGAGGGAGGGTCGAGTGCCTGCCCCTTTAAAGGAGGTGGTAATACGACCGGTCCTGAAGAAAGCGTCACTGGATCCAGAGATGGCCACTAACTATAGACCTGTGGCCAACATCCCGTTTCTGGGCAAGGTGTTGGAGCGAGTGGTGGCGGGACAACTCCAAGCACTCTTGGATGAAACTGATTATCTGGATCCTTTTCAGACCGGCTTCAGACCTGGGTACGGTACTGAATCTGCCTTGGTCGCCCTGTACGACGACCTGTGCAGGGAGAAGGACAGGGGGAGTACATCCCTGTTGGTTCTTCTGGACCTCTCGGCGGCTTTCGATACCATCGACCATGGTATCCTTCTGGATAGACTTGCGGGATTGGGGGTTGGAGGCACTGCTTTGCAGTGGTTCCGCTCCTATCTCAACGGTCGATTCCAGAAGGTAGTGCTGGGGGACCATGTCTCTACGTCATGGCAGCTATGCCATGGGGTACCACAGGGCTCCATTCTATCCCCTCTGCTATTTAACATCTATATGAAACCGCTGGGAGAGGTCATCAGGAGGTGTGGGCTGCGGAATCATCAATACGCTGATGATACCCAGCTTTACCTCTCATTCTCCACTAATCCAGGTGAGGCAGTGGCTGTGCTGAACCGGTGCTTGGCCGAGGTAAGGGAATGGATGAGGGCCAATAAACTGAAACTCAACCCAGACAAGACGGAGGTCCTGTTGGTTGGCAGATCGGGTTTCAGAGAGGGTGGATTTGACCTGGTCCTGAATGGTGCAACACTCCCTCTTAGGGATAAGGTCCGCAGCTTAGGAGTACTCCTCGACCCGGAGCTTTCTTTGGAAGCTCAGGTGACAGCGGTAGCGAGGAACGCCTTCCTTCAGCTTCGGCTGATTAATCAGCTGCGCCACTACCTGGAGTACGACTGCCTGGCGACGGTGACACACGCGCTGGTGACTTCCCGCCTAGACTTCTGTAACGCGCTTTACGTGGGGCTTCCCCTGAAGACAGTCTGAACACTTCAATTGGTGCAAAATAGAGCTGCCAGGTTGCTGACGGGGACGGGGCGTTATGCTCACATGACTCCAGTCCTCCGTCAGTTTCACTGGCTTCCCATTGAAGCCCGGGCCCAATTCAAGGTGTTGATTATGACCTATAAAGCCCTAAACGTCTTGGGTCCTGGCTACCTGAACGAGCGCTTACGTCCATATATGCCCGACCGCCCTTTGAGATCTGCGGGAGAGTCCCTTCTCCGGGAACTCTCCATGAAAGAAATTAGGAGAGTAAGTACTTGGAGGAGGGCTTTCTCTGCGGTGGCGCCCAACCTATGGAATTCACTCCCCAAAGAGGTCCGCCTGGCTCCGTCGTTACTGGTTTTTCGGCGCCAGGTAAAGACCTTTTTATTTAAACGTCATTTCAATTGTTAAAACATATGATCTGGCCAGGGCAACTTCTTCTTCCTTCTCTTTCTCCTCCTATATTTTTATTTTATACTGATAATTCTAATTTTATATTTGTAAATCAATGTATTTTTGTATTTAATGGTAATTTATTATGTACTATTGTATTTCAATGTATTTTATCATGTTGTAAGCCGCCCCGAGGTTTCGGCAAGGGGCGGCATAGAAATGTAATAATAATAATAATAATAATAACAATAATAATAATACAGGGGGCCAGTTCACTGTCCCTCAGACTGTTGGTGGGGGCGGACTATAGTTTGAAAAAAATACGAATTCCTGTGCACACTGCACATATCTTATTTGTAGTGCAAAAATACAAAAAAAGAACAAAAAACAACAGCAACAGGAAAAAACAATACAATGTTTAAAATGAAGAACAATTTTAATCAACATAAACCTATTAGTATTTCAATGGGAAGTATGGGCCTGCTTTTGGCTAATGAGATGGTCAATATCCGATTCCATATTCACTCCTCCATTCAGAGCCAACGCATGTGTGCAATGGGGGGAAGTGCTGGCGCACTCGCAATTCATGCTGGCAAGACCAGCACAGCAGCAGGAGCTGGCCAGAGCCAGCAGAGAGAGCCGATGCACACACAGTTGAAGAAAGCTGTCACAATTTGGCACGTGTGCCGGCTTTCTGCTAGTCTCCAAAACTGAAAGAGTTTCAGAGTACGCCTGCGCTGGCTCAGAACTTTCAGACTTGTTCAGAGATCGTTTTCTCAGCCATATCCAGCCCGTAGTTTGAGGACCCCTGGTGTAAACCGTGTCTTCTTGCTTCACGTAACATAAGATGAGGATCCACTACATAGGACTGGTGGCAGTCACTGACTTCAGGGGCCGCTAGTCTCCACGCAGCAGCTCTCGGCTGCAGCAAGAGGCTTTCTCAGACAGCGCCTGCCTGCACGTGCACCAGTGCGCAGGACATGGCCCTGATGCCTCTGGCCTGTGCCACCTGCCCTGCGAGCTGCTGGCGCTCCCCCCACGCTCCCCAAGGAGAAAGGCTTTGCGAGCCCTGCCACTTCCACCCCTCTCAAGAGGAGCAGCCAGAGGCTGGAGTGCAGCAGAGAGGCACAGGGGGCACCCCAAGGGTGCGGGAAGCATTCGCTAGCTACTGGTGAGCACAGCCTTCCGAGCAAGGCAAGCCTGGAGCAAGTCGGGGCTGCTACTTAAGGTAACCTGTTTTTATCTCTTTTCTCAGGAGCTAGAAGTGGAGCTAGAGAAAAGAAAGCATGAGACCAGGCGGGACAGTGTGGGGGCTGTTGTTCAGGCCATCGTCTGGACGGAAGATGGCTGGGCTGCAGCGTCCGACTCACGGAAGGGGGGCTGCCCAGACGGATACTGACCAGCAGCAGCTGGGGCGCTGACACCGGCTTTGGCTGATCCGTGGCCTGCGAATCAAAAGGAGTTGCTTGTGTCGAACAGGTGTGTGCAGGGACTGCTTTCTAGGCGAGGTTCGAGGCATTAAAATAAAACTGAACAGCTCAGATATGCTACATTATTTATACTTGGGTTACAGGTTTTTGAGGTGGATTTCCTTAGCAATAGGCTTCCACACACAGGGAAAAATTGGGAATTTTTACTATACCTAAGCATGTTGCTAAGTTGTCTGGAAGTTATGAAATTGTTCTTTGCCAAGTTGCCATTCATTTTTTGTGGTAAAAGGAAAAAAAACACATTTTGCTTGAAATTAGTTTGTTCAAGGCAATCCCTCTGTGCACAATTATCTAAATAGAGACTTCAGAATTAGCAGGAACAATTTCACATGGGAAAACAGAAATCTTCATGCAAGCAAGCTGGTTGCAAGGCAAAGGAGTTTTGCCATCAAGCAGAAGCTGTATTGTGCTGCCCACAGCAAAACAGAAAAACTTTTGGGACTTTAAGATATGGTCAAATAGAGAAAACTGTCACTCTTGGGGAGGGGTATTGAGAACTGGGACTATGGCGTGTGGGGAGGAGAGTTGAACCGTTTCCAGCCACCCATGAAAATCTCCCTGAGGCTGTTCTTAAGCAAACTCGATGAGGTACACAACCTGCAAGCTCACGTCTTCCCCTCCTTGGCTCAGAAACGTAAGCGCTCTGTCTGTCCACCCGCAAAAGGAGTTGAGTCTCCAAATGCAGTTCCCCTTGTGCCCCATTGGCTTGGCTCTTATTCCTCTGTTTTCATAGCAGGGTGCACTTTATTTTTTATTTATTTAAGGTATTTCTGCACAGTTTGGTTAGACGAGCTTTCAGAACAGTTTACAGAATGTACTTAAAAATCAGTAACAATCCATTTAAAAGCAAATTTAAAACAACTTTAACATAACAGAGCCCTTTTGGCTCTTGCCTCTTGGCACAGCAGCAGAGGCTGGGAGAGAGCACTGAGAGGCCAGGGGACTGGCGAAGGCAAGGTAGGAGCTGGGCAGGGAGAGGACAGGATCAGCGGAGAGGAAAGGAGCAGGGCCAGAGAGGCCAGGAGGAAGCAGAAGGGCCGGTCCACCAGCCTGAGAGGCTTATAAAGCCATGCTCAGATATTGGCAGTGCCAACAGATGAGGCACCAACAGCGTTGCATTAAGGGCAAAATGACAAGGGCATCGTCTCTTGTGTGCGTTCCTTAGCTGCTGCCCAGACTGCCCAGGGAGACCCTTCCCTGGGGGCAGTTATTAAATAATTTTTTAGATGTTATCCTTTTTGTCTGGGAGAACTGGGTGAGTGCGGAGCAGCGCAGGACAGACAAGGCGGGGAACCAAGGCAGGGCCTCTGAGGGGTTCCCAGTGGCAGACCAGCAGATGGCCCTGGCGGGAGTCACGGCTTTTGCTGTCCACTGCGACAGCTGCGACATGTTCGCCCTTCTCCCCCAGGAGAGGCAGGGCTACACTTGCCCTGGGTGCAAGCGGGTGTCCCTCCTGGAGGAGGAGGTGCGGTGCCTGAGGGCCGAGAGAGCCCTCCAGGCCCCCCGGGAGCAGCCCCCCTCTGGACAGAGGGTCGAGGGAGAGGCCACAGGAGGAGCAGCCCCAGAGACGTGGAGGCATGTCACCCTCAGGAGGGGGAGGCCAGCATGGCCTCCTCCTTCTCCTGCACCAATCTGGAGCTGGGAAGCAGGTCCTCTCCACTTGGGGAGGCTGGGGCTGTTGAGGCCTCGGGGGCCCAGCAGGACCCCCAGCCTGGGACCACAAGCGGCAAGGGGGCCCACTGCAGGAGAGGAAAGAGCCAGGGCACAGACACCTTCCACCACGGGAAGAGACGGCAGCAGGTGATCTTTGTCAGGGACTCCCTGCTGAGGGGCACTGAGCTGGCAGTGTGCTGCCCCAACCTTCTGGTAAAGGACAGGTTGTACCTCACAAGGATGGGGAACAGGTCCTTTGGAAATGCTCTAGTGAGCTTTGCCTGGAAGACTTTAAACTGAGCTGGGTGGGAGGAGGTTCAGACCCCCCAGAAACTAGTCCACACCGGACAAGTGTGGGGAGAGGAACAGGGCTCTGGGAGCAGGGTTTTAGAGGTACTGCAGGGACTGACAGGACTCCTTCAGAGAGGGGCCAGGTATCAAGGAGGATGGGAGGAAGGAGGAGGCTGGGAACTCCAAGGAAAGGAAGTGGTGGGAAGGAGTTTAGGTGCATGTACACCAGTGCTAGGAGCATGGGTAATAAGCAGGAAGAGCTTGAAGCTCTCCTGGGAATAGGAGGATACGATCTGGTGGGAACCACAGAAACTTGGTGGGATGAAAGGCAAGTCTGGAATGTGAACATAGAGGGGTATCACCTTTTTAGAAAGGACAGGAAGGGAAAGAGAGGTGGGGGCGTGGCTTGATACGGCAGGGAAGGGATAGGATGCAGTGAGACAGAATGCAGCACAGATGGGGATTTGGCAGAGGCAGTCTGGGTGAAAGTTAGGGGTTTTGACAGGGAAAGGGACCTGACAGTGGGGGTATGTTATCGCCCTCCAGGTCAACTTGAGACCCTGGATGATGTCCTGACAGGCCAGATTCTAAGGATATCTCGGGGGAGAGATACAGTAATTATGGGAGATTTCAATCTCCCGGATACTAGTTGGGAGACTCACTCTGCGGTGACAGCCAGGTCACATCACTTCCTAGAAGCTATAGAGGGAGGGTTTTTCACACAGAGGGTCCGAGAGGCGACGAGGGGGAGAAACACCCTTGACTTGGTCTTGACCCAAAGGGAGGAGCTGATAGATGGGGTACAGATTGGGGAGCTCCGGATGCAAGTGATCACTCCATCCTTTGCTTTGAGATCAGGGGAAGGGGATCGTGCAGCAGGTCGAGCACTAGAAGCTGGGACTTCAAGAGGGCCAACTTTGGCCAACTGAAGGCCAGACCAGGGAAAGTCTCCTGGGATATGTTACTGGAAGGTAAGCAAGTTGAGGAGGGGTGGCTGGCACTCAGAAGGGAGGTTTTGGAGGCGCAAGCCTTGACGATACCTCTAGTCAGTAAGGTGGGGAGGTGGAGGAGAGTGCCGCCATGGATGCGAAAGGAGGTGGTTAGAGGGATTAGACGAAAGAGGAACCTCCGTAGGAAATGGGTACTGGGGGAAATAGACAAAAGGGTATACCGGGAGGAGGAGGCCCGTTGCAGGATTCTTTGCAAGGCTAAGGCTGATTACGAGCTGAGACTTGCCAAGAATATCAAGAGCAACAAAGAGGGCTTCTTTCAGCATGTAAATAGGAAGAGGAAGGTGAGACAAGTGGTGGGACCACTAAATAAGGAGGAAGGAGATCCAGTGACTGATACCAGGGAACAGGCACAGATGCTAAATGACTGTTTTGCCTCTGTGTTCTCCCCAAAGCAAGACGGGGCAGGGAGGGGCGGGGGTCCACGTAGGAGATTAGATGAGGCTGGGGACTTAGGGGCACAGATTGGAGTCACCCCCCTAGAAGTTGAGGGGCTCCTCAGGGCATTGGACATTACAAAGGCGCCAGGCCCTGACAGGTTACACCCGAGAGTACTTAGAGAGTTGGCAGGGGTTCTCTCACGCCCACTGGCCTCCATTTTTGAGCCCTTGTGGAGAACGGGTGAGGTTCCAGAGGACTGGAGGGTGGTGTCAGTGGTCCCAATTTTCAGAAAGGTAGTAGAAGGGACATGGGGAATTACAGACCAGTTAGCCTTATGTCCATTGTAGGAAAAACAATGGAAAGGCTCATAATAGAGAGAGATCTAGTGATGCTAGATAGGGAAGGGAGGCTGGCAGCCACACAACATGGTTTCCGCAAAAACCGGTCCTGCCAGACAAACCTTGTGGAATTCTATGACAAGGTTTCGCGATGGCTAGATGGAGGGGATGCAGTGGATGTGGTTTACCTGGATTTCAGCAAGGCCTTTGACAAAGTGCCCCATGATATCCTGGTGGAGAAACTGAGGAGTTTTGGGATACACCAAAGCACTGTCCGGTGGATTAAGGCATGGTTGACTGACCGAAAGCAGAGGGTAACATTAGCGGGGAATCATCAGGATGGCGGCCAGTAACAAGCGGGGTCCCCCAGGACAGAGCCCTGGGGGACCCC